GGAGAAAATGGAGTCCTAATTCAACCTCCAGTGTACTGTCTCCTTCCTACTTCCATGCTTCTGTCAAAAACTGCTGCCTCCTCTTAAAGAAGCCATGACCAAACACACAGTGAAAATGAGACCCATTTGGAGACAGCCAACTCCTCTTTTCCAGGAATTGTTTCTTTTGGATGGATTCCGCTTTCCCTGGCTCCCTGACTTCTGCCTGGAGATGCAAATGCATGTCTGAACCTGAATTCACGAGCAAGGAGAGAGTGCGGCCCAGCGCTCTGTTAAGTTTTCCCTTCAGCTGAGTGCAGAGCTAAACCCCAAACCAGCTCACTGGGGATTTGCCAGGTGAGGGTCCCCAAACTAGAAGTGTACAACAGATGTGGTCTCTCACCAGGCTTATCTGTGAGCTGGAGACCTGCCACAACAGCACCCTGGAAAGATATCCAACTTCTCATCTGAAATACACATGAGCCCTGTCTTGTCATAGCTTAGACTTTTAAAAAGTCTTAAACATCTTAAGAAGTGTCAATTGCTGGGCACATTAACTCTTGGATTTTGCATTTCATCTGTACTGGGACAGTGCTGATATGTCTAATGGCCTTTATTTCCTAAAGGAAAAGCAAAAACAGATTTATATGTTTATTACGGAAAGTAGTCAGTTGTTGAAGAAACGTAGAATCCCATTTTCAAAACCAGGACTTGGCCGTAAATAGTATAGGTACAAATACCAGAGCTTCTGACTCTGTTGTGCCCACATTTCTGGGTGGACTGTGCTAGGTGTTTCGTCTTGGGGGCACTGAGCCTCCTGTCAGTAAATTGAGTGTGCAGGTAGGAAGTCTTATCTGAAATTAGAAACAGCTAGGGTGGGAGCAGGCTGGCAGGTATCCTGCTGATGACCAGCACCCCCCATTAACAGAAAATAGAACAAGGTGGAGCTTGGCTCCTAAGTCCAACTCCACAGATCTCTTCCTTTCAGTATCCCCCGGGACCACCACGAGGAGGTAGGCCCTATCCAGCCAGTTCTTACCAATATAATTAACATGTACATGTGCTTTTACTCTTCCATGTGAATGGAAGTCAAGCAGTGCTGACATTCTCACATCGTTCCACCACTGTAATGTTATTTTTAAATATCTTATTTTTAACAGATAATATATGCACATGGTTCCAAACTCAAAATGATGAAAAATATACATTTAGAGTCTTGTTGTCACCATGAACCCCCTTGCACCCTAGTCTGCTGCCTGTATGTAACCACTTTCGTTAGCTTTCTATATGTCCTTTCAGTGTTGCTTTGTGCATATATTCATTCTTTAATTCAATGACTATTCAATAAATATTTACATTCTTTCATTATAGGAACTATTCCATGTCCTAGGCTACTATATTTTAGGAAATATTTTAGGAATATATTCTTCCTTTCATTAAGCAAAAATTCTTATTTTCATTGAGTTTATAATCTAGGAAGGGGTAGACAACAAGCGATAACATAAGAAAGAAGAAAATAATGGAGTAAGGAAGGGTGGTGTTGCGGAGGTTTGAAGGGGGCCCATTGCAATTTTAAATAGGGTGATTAGGGTAGACCTCACTGAGTGATGTTTTGAGCAAAAGTTTGTAATAAGGTGAGGAATTGAGCTATGAGGGTATCTAAAGGAAGAGCATTTCAGACAGAAGGAACAAGCCATACAAAGGCCCTATGCAGAGCATGCCTATTATATTCAAGGAATAGCAAGGACCTAAGTGTGGCTGGAGTGGAGACCATGAGGGAGAGAAAGTAGTAAGCGTTGAAGTCAGAGAGGGAGGGGGAAGGAGGCAGACCATGCAAGACCTTTTGAGGCTTTTGTGTTTACTCCAAATGCAGTGGGGACACAGTCTCAGATTTTGAACATCATAATCTGGCTTATATTTTGACAGAATGTCTCTGGCTAAGGTGTGGAGAATAGGCTGTGAAGGAAGAAAGGGTGAAAGAAGAAAGAAGCTGGTGTGGAGGTTATTGCAATTACTGAAGAAAGGAGTGATGGTGGTTCAAAGTTGGGAGCAATGGAAATACTGAGTGGTCAGACTCTGGGCTTGTTGTGAAGTAGGCACTAATAGGTTGAGTATTATTAAGTGTGTGAGAAAGAGAAGAGCCAGTTATGACTCCAGTGTTTTCAATTGGGAAGATAGAATTTCTATCAACTGAGAGGAAAACTGTGAAACAAGTTAGGGAGGGAAGATTGGGAATTTGATTATGCACAAATTAAGTTTTAAATGCCTTTTAGACATCCAAGAAGACATGCCAAGTGAGTATTGGATCTAAATTTGCCAGTTGTCAGGATATGAATGCTATTTAGCTGTGAGACAAGATGAGAACAGCAAGGGAATGAATATATATAGAAGTGAGGAGGTGGACCACGGCTGAAACCTGGGACACTCTAATGTTAACAGCTGGGGGTGGCAGGAGAGGAGAAATAGCAAAAGACATCTAGAAGGAATAGAAGGAACAAACAGTGAGTTAGGAAAACTAGGGCACCGCAGTGTCCCAATGCCTAGTGAAGGAGATTTCTCAAGCAGGAGGAAGTGACAAATTGTGTGAAATGCTGTTGGTAGTTGAGTAAAACCACTAGCTTTAGCCACATGAAGATCACTGGTGTTTGTGACAAAATCAGTTCCAGTAAAGCGGTGGAAGTGAAAACCAGGTAAGTGGGGTTAAGAGGGAATTGGTAAGACATCAAGGGCAGTTTAAGTGTAGACTTCTCTTTCTGGGAGTTTTGCTACAAAAGGATACAAAGAAATGAGGCAATAGCTGACGGGTGAAGTGGGGTCAAGAGAAAGGTTTTTGTGAGATGGGAGAAATAAGCTGTACTATTGTGAGTGATCCAGGAAAGAGGGGAGAAATGATGATAGAGAAGAAAGGGGAGTTTCTGGAGTAGTAATCCTAGTAGGTTTGAGGGAATATCCTCCCCTTTTATTATCATCGTAGTTATCTTTCTTATAAAATGTGTCGCTTTATGGCCACTGTTCTGCACCTTGCCTTTTTCATTTAATGATCTGTGCTTCTTTTCATAACAGTATATGGAGAATTTTTCTTTTTTTCACAACTGCATACTATTTCATTGGAAGGGTAGGCCATAGTTTAAATAACTACGCCCTGAAGGGTGGACACTTGTGTGTTTCCAAGCTTTTGCTGCCATAACCAATGTTCCTCTGAATAACTGGTTATTTTCTTTAACATTTTTATTTTATTTTAATTTTATTTAATTAATTAATTTTTTTTTTTTTGGCAGAGACAAGTGAACATTTATTTTTGTGAGTTTCTTCCTATGTGTATTCCAAGTCTTTTTCAAAACAAGGCCCCAGGAATCTCCAGAATCAATTATGTCTCTGGGCTTGGTCGACTGCTGTGGGAGTCTTAGGGAGCCTTGTACAGATGCTAGAGTTACTCATTTACCAACATTAAATCCTAGGATAGAAGATGCAGCAAAGCAGGACTCCTTCCTCCATGGAATGTGCTGATTTCAGATGGGGCAGCAGCCAATGCAGAAAACACTAAAATTTTTTCTTGGAGCTCGATTGTGATGAGAGGTGCTTGCCATGAACATAAGCTACTGTCTTTTGTTTTTTGGGTTGTTTTTTGTTGTTGTTGTTGTTTTGTTTTTCTGAGATGGAGTTTCGCTCTTGTTGCAAAGGCTGGAGTGCAGTGGCGCGATCTTGACTCACAGCAACCTCCGCCTCCCGGGTTCAAGTGATTCTCCTGCCTCAGCCTCCCGTGTAGCTGGGATTATAGGTATGCGCCATCATGCCCAGCTAATTTTCGTGTTTTTAATAGAGACAGGGTTTCTTCATGTTGGTCAGGCTGATGTTGAACTCCCGACCTCAGGTGATCTGCCTGCCTCAGTCTCCCAAAATGTTGGAATTACAGGCGTGAGCCACCATGCCCGGCCAGCTACTGGCTTTTCTTTGGCGCTTCCTTTCCAGTTTTGAAGATAAAGCAGGAAATAATCTTATCTGAAGATACTTGATAAAAATTCCCAAAAAACAAAAACACATGCTCCCACTTCACTGACAAAAATGTACTGCAGTTTGACACCTGGGTCTAGTTCAGCTGGCAGATGAGCTGATTGATGTGTTCATCTCAATAGCCGGGTATGCCCATCTCCTTGAGGAAGCCCACTCTATTTTAGGTAGCATTACAGGCCACGGAGAGGTGGAAAGGGTGCAAGAACTATGAGATCTCCTGGAAATGCTTCCCTGGGAAGGCAATTTCATGAATGGGGTCTTCCAAGCAAATGATGCCAAACTTCCCCAGGTGCTCCTCAATCACTGTGTTGCCTGTCAGAGGGATGGCCTTATTCTTGACCTCAGATTGTCCATGTTTCAAAATGAGTTCCCGGACAGACTTCAGATTTGAAATCCCCAGGTCACATAAGGTTCCACTATTCACAGCATTTTTAGGTTCTGGGAGGTTACTTTTACAAAGACACCACTGAAAATTTTGTTAGGCGAAGTATTGCAATGGTTCTCTGTACCAGTAAACTCACACCATTAATCCTTTCGATGCATTCAACAAAGGCCAAGAAAGGTTTATCTGGCAATTCCAAGGTGTGAAGTTTCACTTCTAGTTGTCTGAGATGCACCTTGTCACGTTTCTGCCGCCAGGAATCATGTAGGAATGATTCCAGTCATTTAAACCTGAGCCCTTTTCCTTTCCTCTGCTCCTTCTTTGCCAAAAGTGCCTGCTTTGACTGGGTGGCTTTGAGGGCTTGATAAGCCTTCCTCTTTTTCAGGAGGTTTTCTGGAACCAAAGGGGTTTTTCTTTGCTCTTGTTCTGCCATCTTTCTAGTGTTGCAGCTACTGATCACATGCAACCCCTTTAAATTTTTCTTTTACAACGAGGGTCTCAACCTGTTTCCCAGGCTGGAGTGCAGTGATGTAATCATGGTTCACTGTAACCTTGACCTCCTGGGCTCAAGGGATTCTCCCACCTCAGCTTCCCAAGTAGCTAGGACTACAGGCATGCACCACCTCGCCTGTCTATTTTAAATGTTTTGTGGAGATGGAGTCTCACTATGTTGCCCTGGCTGAACTCCTGGCCTCAGGGGAACTTTGTACATGCCTCATCCCATCTGGGTCAGCCATACTGCTGCTTCAATCTTGGAGCTAAAGTTCAGTCTGTCAACATTTCTAACCTGTAACTCTATCTTCTCTCTTCTAAAGAAGGAGAATTTCCTCTCCTTTTTTATTACTATATATTCAAGTTAATTTTGCCCTCTAGCATTAGGAACTTAAGCAGATAAATAGCTCTTCATTTATTTATGATCATTGTTTTAGACCAAAATAATTGGCAGATACATAGAAGGCCTTAGTAAAAATAAACATCATGTAGGATTAATACTAATATTTGATTTTGGGTTTTTAGTTATGGTAATGGAATATTGTTCCCTGGATTTCATAGGTGCTCTTCCAAATCTTTGCATTAGGAGTCAGGTGAGAGATCTTCCTAGTTCCCATGTTCCAGAGGATCCTGGATCCCCAGTTACCCAACCCCCATTAGTTTTTGCATACAGTTGACCTTTGAACAACATGGTTTGAACTGTGCAGGTCCACTGATACACAGATTTTTTTCGACCAGACAAGGATAGAAAATACAGCATTCGGGATGTGAAAACCATGTGTGCAGAGGGCAGATATTTGTCTCCACGAGTTCCCCAGGGCTGACGGCAGGACTCGAATATGCATGGATTCAGGATCCGAGGGTGTTCCTGGAAACAATCCCCAGCGCCCTGCATGTATCAAGGCGCAGCTGAGTTTGGAAACAGCTTATGGTGTCCCGTGTTCTGTCTCAGAGTCGCCATTTTACAGCCATCAATGACAGCACAATGTTTTGTGATACGTGCCGGCATGTTTTTCCCCCTAGATCTCTGGAAACACCAAGTCATGAAAGAAAACTTTTCAGTCTCAAGACCACAAATAGTTGAAAAATTTAGACAGAGATTAATGCAGAATTATCAGGATGATGGAGTAGAGGTATGTATTGAGAATTAGTCATTCTGTTGGTTTTTATAACATCATCCCAAACAAGGAAAACTTTCTCATTTAACTGCTCTCCTAATGCTTCCCTTATTCCCTAAGAATGCTTATATGAATACTGAGGCTAAGCCCAAAATAGAGCAATTGTTAGCTGTTTGTTTTTTTCCTTTATTTATTTATTTATTTTTTTAGACAGAGTCTTCCAGGCTTGAGTATACTGGCACGATCTCAGCTCACTGCAACCTCTGCCTCCCAGGTTCAAACGATTCTCCTGCCTCAGCCTCCTGAGTAGCTGGGACCACAGGTATGTGCCACCACACCCAGCTAATTTTTGTGTATTTTTAGTAGAGACGGGGTTTCACCAAGTTGGCCAGACTGGTCTCGAACTCCTGACCTCAGATGATCCACCTGCCTTGGCCTACTAAAGTGCTGGGATTACAGGTGTGAGCCACCATGGCCAGCTATAATCATTAGTTTTTAATTTTGGGAAAAAATTGATTTCTAGTAAAGATCTGAGTCATTAGAATATATATGTTGGCAAATTTCAAATTTGGTCAATTTTTTAAAGTAACCTTGGAGTTTATGAATGAGTTGATTTTTAGCAACATATTCTGTTGTTGATTTGTTAGTATGAAAAGCCTAAGTGAGGAGAACCAAAATAGCCTGTAATGCTGTTACCTAGAAAACATGAAAATGTAGCATATGAAAAAAAGCCAACAGCACAGAAAGGTATCATTTTCACCCATCTCCATGCCACCATCTCCAGCTTCCTCTCTGCAAAGGAAGCCAGCTTCAGCAATCTGTGTGTGTCCTTCCAGAAAAAATATTCGAATCCATAACAACTCTATATATTATATTAAATGATAATATACATTTAATACATGCACACACACATATACACAGTCCTTGGGTTTTGAAACATGTTTATTCTTGTCAGGAAGTGCCTTGCTAAATCAAATCAACCCACTGAAAAGACAGGATAAGAGAGTAGACATGGATATTTGACTGTAACAGAGTTTTGAGGAGTGTTAACAAGTGCTTTTAGGTAACTGTGAATCCAGTTTCCTGTGAAACTCAACCATTTAAAGAAATTTGACTTGACAAAACGTACTTCATTTTTTAAAATGCCTTCTCCAAACTTCCATTTTTCCAAGTTCTTCAGATGTTCTCCATTATTTTCTAATACACATCTCAGTTCTTATGAGGTAGAAAATTCACAAGCTTGGTTGGGGATACATTTTTCCTCAGAACTTGATGACTTACATGTATTAGTTTAAGCTTTCAATCATAAACAAACATGATACTGGATACTCTGAGTGGGTGAAGTAGTTTCCCATCCTTGAGACAAGGAAGTGGTTAGGGTGGGACATATCAGAAAAAAGGGTGGAAAAAATTTGTCACTCACCTTACAAAGAAAGGAAATTCTGGCCGGATGCGATGGCTCATGCCTATAATCCCAGCACTTTGGGAGGCCAAAGTGGGCAGGTCACTTGAGGCCAGGAGTTCAAGACCAGCCTGGCCAACATGGTGAAACCCTGTCTCTACTAAATATACAAAAATTAGCCGGGTGTGGTGGCACGTGCCTGTAGTCCCAGCTATTTGGGAGACTGAGGCAAGAGAATTGCTTGAACCCGGGAGGTGGAAGTTGCAATGAGCCGAGATTGTGCCATGGCACTCCAGCCTGGGCGATAGGGTGAGAATCCATCTTAAAAAAAAAAAAAGGAAATTCTGATACATTGATACATGCTACAGTGTGGATGAACCTTGCGGACATTATTGCTAAGTGAAATCAGCCACTCACAAAAGCACAAATACTCTATGATTCTACTTCTATGGGGTACCTAGAGTAGCCAAATTCAGAAAGACAGAAAGGATGGTGGTTGCCAGGGTCTGAGAGGAAGGAATAGGTCATTATTGTTTATCGGATACAGAGTTTTCGTTTTACAAGATGAAGAGTTCTGGCGGTGGATGGTGGTGATGGTTGCACAGCAATGTGAATATACTTAATGCCATTGAACTGTACCTTTAAAAATGATATAGTGGCAACTTTTATGTTTAACACGATAAAGACAACAGTTTTGTAACTCAAGTTCTTCTCATTTCTTATCTGTATGCTTCACCCCAACATTGAGGTCTTGTGGGAAAGAAGCATGGATGTCAGTAGGCAGGGCAAACCCATATCAGGTATACCCCACACTCTGGGCACACTTGAAGAGGATGGTGTCAGCCTGCCAGTGTCTTGAAGTCAGGGTCCTCAGGATGCTCCAGCCCCTCCGAAGTCTGTGCCTGGTAGGCTTCTAGCCTCTTCTGGACCATCTGCAGTGACAGTGAACTTACTCTTCCAGCCACTCCCCCGTCTCCATCATAGAGATAGTGCAGTCTTGGCTTACTGCAGCCTCTACCTCCTGTGTTCAAATGATGCTCCTGCTTCAGCCTCCCAAGTAGTTAGGATTACAGGCACATGCCACCGCACCTGGCTAATTTTTATATTTTTAGTAGAGATGGGGTTTCACCATGTTGCCCGGGCTGGTCTTGAATTCCTGACCTCCAGTGATCTGCCCGCCTCAGCTTCCCACAGTGCTGGGATTACGGGTGTGAGCCACTGCTCCCCAGCCCACTGAAGTGTTTTGTCAGCAGAAGTGGGTATTTTAGAAACATCTTCAAAATACCTCATGTGTGCCTGATATTTAACAAATTGTTACAAGGGATTCCAAGATGAAGCAAACCACAGAAACTCAATTGCTGCTGGCAGGCTTCAGGGCTAGACTTTGGCCATAACAAGGCCCAGTGCTTGCCATGCTGCACCCCAGGCTGGTTCTCTTGAAGAATCCCTGGGGCAATCTGCTGCTCTTCTACCCAGTGCCATCCATCGTGGTTCAGGTTTGAATGGTGGTGACAGAACAGCCCAGTGGAAGGCGGTGCTGCTTACTGGGCAAAACTGGGCCAATAATCTGAGTCTGCAGCTCTTATGCCAGCAAGGGTTTCAGAGAAGAAACTGGCCAATGGTACCCACTCACGCTGCATTTTGACACAAGCACAGCTGACATTTACACTGACCCAGGGAGGCAGGGTAAGTTGCAGAGCAGGTTTTAGGAAATAAATTGCCCTGAGAGCCCAGAGAAGCCTGAGCCCACGGAAGCCACAACGGCTGCTTCATGTGCTGCTTCCAGAAGGCCAAGTGCACAGGGCTGGCATCAATGGCAGATGGCCAGGGAACAGGAGCTGGCCTGACCCCAGAAGTGTCACAGATAAAATTCACGTTACAGTGTAGGCTGGGTCCTAGACTTGGCCCCATAAAATGTCTCACCCCCCATCCCTGCAGATAGATACACACACAGAGACACACTCATTGATGCACAGAGGGACAAACACACTCGCATAGATATGCAGGTCCTAGTTGGGTAAGTCTGTCCTACCTTCCAAATATTAGCTCCCATTTCTCTCCAGAACCTAAATCTAAGACTGCCTTGGAAAGTTGGGCTGTTCCTTAATTGCCAACTCTTCAAAAAGCATGCCCAATCTCCTGGAGAAAGGGAGTGAGTGGAATTGCCTAGAGAATGAGCTGTGTGGCCCTTAGACTAGAGCAAGAGAAGCCCCTGCCAGATACCCCATATAGCAGAGGGCCCCTCTCTGGCCTTTCTCCAGCTATGACCTTCCTCACAAGGTAAGAAATGCCCTGGGCCATAGGGATATGTCCGCTCAGAGCCCTCACCTTCATTTTAGACCATGCTCCAAGTACCTGGGACCTGGAATTCCCTGAGTCCATGGCCTGAATGGGCATCTTCCCTGGATCACCTTCCCCAGAGTGAGAGTGGACCTCATCACTAGTGTGCACACCCCTGGCCTGGAAGTGACCAAGGAGCAACTGGGAGTGTGGATGGAGTTTGGACATGCGGGTTAGGATGTCCGCTCACAGGCATGTGAAGACCTCACAGCATGATGTGAGGCGAGAGCTGGGAAGAGAAGGGGGCCACACAGTAAACTATAGGTTGGGGACCAGCTCTCGCCATGTGTCCCTACTTCAGCACAGAACTGAGAGTAGTCGACTGGGCGTGGTGGCTCACACCTATAATCCCAGCACTTTGGGAGGCCGAGGTGGGTGGATCACCTGAGGTCAGGAGTTTGAGACCAGCCTGGCCAACATGGTGAAACCCCGTCTCTACTAAAAATACAAAAATTAGCCGGGCGTGGTGGTGCACCCCTATAATCCTAGATACTTGGAAGGCTAAGGTGGGAGAATTGCTTGAACTTGGGAGGCCAAGTCTGCAGTGAGCTGAGATCGCGCCACTGCCCTCCAGCCTGGGCGACAGAGCAAGACCCCATCTAAAAGACAAACAAATAAACAAACAAACAGTAGTCCAGGAATAATAAATTCAAATCTGGCTTTCCAGGTCAGTTTTCAGGTCTGTTTTTCAAGGTAGTAGAATTAAACATTTCATTCTGATAGTTTGTTAGTTTGATTTATAACCTTTCAGTGTTTCACCACATGCTATGTGGGCTTCCATTGTCCTCGTGTCCCTGCAAATGTTCAAAGCCGACCTGAAAGAGAGGCTTGCAAGGCTACAGCCCATGGTTGGATATAGAGGAGAAACAAAAGTGGGTCTGTGAGCCAAGGCAAAGAGTGCCTGGGGCCCTGGCATGGTGAGACTGCCCTGCTGGAGTGGCTGTGAATAATGAATGCCTCTTTCCTTTCAGATCACTTTCAGGAAAGATCACCTTGAGGCCTGCCTCCTTTCCCTGGGTTGTGACGTGATGGCAAGAGAACGCAGCAACTTTGAGACCTACTCCACGTGCTATGAGCATGTGTTGCATCACGCTAGGCAGAGGCTCAGCCAGAAAGAGCAAGTAGGCTCCCAGAGAGACGAGAACTGCAGTGGGGAATGGGCGTGGGCAGGGAGGCTCAGGAGGCACTCAGAAGAGAAAAGTAAAACTGAGAGGGTTGGGGTGCATCTAGTGGTTCTTATGCCAGAATTGAGGGTGAATGGTACCCTCAAATCTCTCTTCTCATTGGCTCATTCCCTTGGGCTCTGGTATTCTCAGTTGCACACTAGGTTATGTGCTTTGGAGGTGTCCAGCGGGGAAATACAAAAGGTGAGCAACAAAGGGGCTGGCCCTGCAGGGGAAGGTGCATAGCTGACCTTTCCACCCTTGGCAAACACAAGGCGCCGTGTGCTGTTCCTGGTCTGGGAAAGAAGCCAGGATCCTTAAGTAAACTCTCCCTTCAGGATGGATGTCATGGATCAGTCTCACTGGGAGACTTCCTTAACATATGAGCCCACTGGTGGGACGGAAGAGTCAGTCCACCTGCCCTGGGCTGCCCACTATTGTGAAGGTAGATTGCATCAGAGGTTTCGTGTGATTTTACTTTATACCTTAGAAAAGTTCAGAAGTCTAAAAGACTAGCCAAAACACCAGATGAAGTATTAAAATGTCAAATAATGAGCCTTGGAGCCACCCTCATTTTGGCCTATCCCCATTACTCAGTTCTTGGCATCAGTGTGGGTACCTGGAAGTCGGTGTTGTCTTTTGAGGCTGTGTTAAGCATCCTGAAGTCCATTGGGCAACACATACAGTCTCAGCTCCAGGCACAGCCTAAGGTTCTCAAAATGGGGCTCCATTAACACAAATAGGAAGTGTTTGGAATGCGTTGTGCTGACCTGAGCTGTGGTTGGAAGACGAAATGTCTGAGTTTGGTTGTGTACTGCTTTCTCCTGCTCAGGAATTAGATGCTGCACGAAGAGGCGAGGGTCCGCCTGAAGACAGTGCTGGCCAGGTAGGTCATTTCCTGTTAAAAAGGTTCTCTTCTCCATTTCTCACATCCACACTCTCAGGGTTAGCCAGCTGTGGTGTCATTTGCTTGTGTCACCTGTGGAAGTCCCGTCAGTGAAGGTCCCACTGCAGGAACACCAAGGAGTGTGCTTTCACTTTTGGCAAGCAACCCTCCTTAGGGTGCATTTTTCTTCCCTTGAGTTTTTTGGTCACTTTTGTTATTTTGTACTGGCTTTGTTTTGTTCTGTTTTTGTTGTTACTTTGGGGAGTTTTGTTGTTGTTGTTTGTTTTATTTTGATGCCACTTAAGGTGCATTCCAGGCCGGGTGCGGCGACTCACGCCTGTAATCCCAGCACTTTGGGAGGCCGAGGCGGGTAAATCATCTGAGGTCAGAAGTTCAAGACCAACCTGACCAACATGGAGAAACCCCATCTCTACTAAAAATACAAAATTAGCCAGGTGTGCTGGTGCATGCCTGTACTCCCAGCTACTCAGGAGGCTGAGGCAGGAGCATCGCTTGAGCCCGGGAGGTGGAGGTTGCGGTGAGCCAAGATCACACCACTGCACTCCAGCCTGGGCAACAAGGGCAAAACTCCATCTCAAAAATAAATAAATAAATAAATAAATAAATAAATAAATAAATAAATAAAATAAAGTGCCTTCCAAAAAAGAAAAAGGATGTTTGGGCTGAGGCGTCAAGGGGAGGCCAGTTTGGAGATGGAGGCCAAGACAGTTGAAGTATTTTTCTCTAACTGAAAAGGGCCTATGTACTAGCTTTTCTGGGGTCACTTCTTCACCAAGCAGTGTCTGGCACTGTTCTGGGACCTTTGAATTGTCCTTAAATTCTTCTGCCCACATTTATGCAGCAGAATGTTCACTCGCTTCATTAGGTTTAAAATAGAAGTGAAATTCAATACTGATCTATAAGAAACTATTTTGTAGGAGCAGTCTGAAACTCCTAAATTGTTTTTCTCACACACACACACACACACATACACACATTTTCTCTTGCTTCTAGGTTGCAGAGCTCAGTCATGATATGATCATGGAAATCACCGCTCTGAGAGCCCAACTCACAGACTTGGAAGAGGTGAATCTGAATCTCAAGACGCAGATTAGAAAAGAAGTCCAAGAAGAATATGAGGCATTAGTCCGAGCTTTGTTTCAGACCTGTTTACACATGAAAGTAAGTGTCCTGTGTCAAACATCTGGGCCACCCACTGGGGAGCCGAGTGTAACCGATTCCCACGGTGGCTGCACACCCAGGGATCGATGACAGAATAATGGGCTTTGTGGGAACAAGAGATTCTTAGGCCCTAAGAATTTGTTAGCTCTAAGCTTTCACTGCAGAAAGAGAGTCAGCAATGGGTTGTCATTAACCATGATAGACACTGAATTTGGGGATAATACAGAAGTCTGTCTTTTCCCCTCTATTGACAGTTGCCCCATCACTGTCTGATTGCTGTTGGGAGGAGAGAGTGTTCTGCTGCTCCAAATTCCCCACCTCCCCAGTTTCTACCACCATTTTATCTGTTAGTGTGACTTTCCAGAGTACAGTGCCTGGGCCAGGCCAGACCTTATGTAGGTAGCAGCAGGTGCCTCTGGAGAACTCCCTGGGCACATTCAGAATTTGAATCAGCTTCCAGAATTTTTTCAAACCCTCAGAATGCCTGCCAGCTTTACTCTCACATTCAATGTCAGCAAGCTGCTGACCTGTCAGCAAAGATCCATTGCAGAAGAGAAGTGATGGGGTGCGCGTGCACCCGCAGCATTGTGGAAGCCAATCGCTTTCATCTGATGTTTGCGCAGCCATTAGATAGATGCCCCACGCCTAAAATGGGCCATCAGGGAGACTGGTCCAGCTGACTCGCTGGTGTGAATTTCAGTACAACCTACCACCTGCAAGTCCACAGTTTCCCCCAACCCTGTCCCCTTCCCTGCTATTAGATACACCCCAAAGCCAGCCCCATTTGGGTCCTTGCATCTCTCCCCAGGGATTGCAGAGTGGCCCCCAGGGTTATTAGGTTAACAGGAGCTTCCACCGGTGCTCACCTTGGCCTAGTCATTCCAGCAAGAATTTCTTCTTACCTGCAGTGTAAATGATTACACGTATTAAAGGATCAAACCCAAAATGTATTGGGTCTGGTGTTGCAAGAGAGGAATGGGCAGACAGTGACAGCTGGAATTTGCTAAGCCATCTTTCAGGTGTGAGATTGTTGAGAAATGTCTTAAGTTCCTTTTAGCTCCTGCCAAATTCCTAGTTAAAAAGTGGATTCTCTCTGTTTCCCAGGCTGAAGTGGTTCCACCAGGCCTCCTACAGTAGGGAATCCCTGTTATATTCCAGCATCCCATGAAGTTGCTAAAGCTTCTGCTGTGTGGCCAGAGCCAGGCTTCCTTCCATGGCTCCCAGCTGGGCACCCTCCTCCTGCCTTCCTCTCTAGGGAAGTGGTTTAGAAGTTGGAGGACACCCCTACCCTACCTCTCACCCCAAAGACACTGGGCGTCTTAGTCTGCTCAGGCTGCCATAACAAAATACGATAGGCTGCACAGCTTAAACAACAGAAAGTATATTTCTCACAGTTCTGGAAGCCAGAAGTCTGAGATCAGGGTGCCAGTGTAGTCTGCTTCTGGCTGAGGGCCTGCTTCCTGGCTTGCAGGTGGCTGCCTTCTCACTGTGCCCTCACATGGCAGAGATGGAGAAAAAAAAAGGTCTCTCTCCCTCTTCCTATAAGGCCACAGTCTTATTGCAATAGGGCCTCCCCCCTTATGTCCTCAGTTTAATCTTAATTACCTCCTAAAGCTCCTATCTCTAGATACTGTCACAGGGCTGGTTAGGGTTTCAACATATGAATCTGGGGAAGACACAATTCAGTCCCTAGCACTGGGTCTTCAGTTGTACTTACCATTGATCAAGCTGTTTCCTCACAAGGCATTTAGCCATAAGCCACTCAGAACAGAATATTTCCTAATGAGGTTTCTGTTAGATCCTAAATAGGAAGGCAGTCGGCTGGACTCCCTCCTCCACTTTATCTATATTTAACAGAGCTCCTCAGGAGTGGCTCAACTACAGTGTCTTGTCTGGTCACATTCTGCCGTGAGTCAACATAGCAGCAAAAATCTTTGGTTGAGCTTCCCAAGTAACTCTTACCAGGGGCAGTTTGCTCAGCAGGTTTTCTACCTGTGAGCCTCCACTGTCCTCCTGGCTCAGCCTGCCTTGGTGTTGACAAGGAAGGCACAGTCTAAGATGTGCTGGTGTCCCGATGATGAAGCCCTGTGGATAAAAGACAGCACTCGGGGGCCGCTAGTGTGACTTCCTTATAGTACATGTCAGAATAATTGTCTGAGTAGGTGACATCTTAATGTGAAATTACTTACAAAAGTTAAGTTGTAGAAGGCAAAATGGCTTTTCTTCAACTGCCCTTCACACTACCCAAATCCATTTTACTTCCTTGACTTGAGTCTGCAATTTGCAGGAGAAGCTGGATGAGAATCAGCTTAATTTGATCCAGAAAGTGTGTGAGCTCATCGGTGAAGTGAGAACAGAAGGGATTGACAATATGAAGGACCTAAAGAAAAAATGGGGCTCTGCCAGCCCTGATGAAGGAATGAAAGAAAACCCGGCCAAAGTATGTGATTTCATTTAGCAATGGGCTATCAGTGTTTCATTCTAGCATCTGACCCCACCATTCACCCCGTTAGCATTCCAGCCTGATTTCCCTGAGAAAGCATTGCATCAGGCATTTTAAAGGGGACACGAGGACGCACTGCACAATTGTGTCATCTTCTGGAAGACATGTTAGTGATGCTAGGGTTTGTGCCCTTCCTATGAAAATGTTGGGGGCAAACTTTTCTGAAAACGAGCCTTCTTAGCAGGAACAGCTGTGGGCCTTGGAGCAGGACAACTGCAGCCTGGCCACCCTGGTGTGCAAAGTGAGGAGCCTGGGCCGCTGGAGGCTGGCTGTGCAGCAGGCACGCTTCCAGGCCCAGCTGAGCAGGGCAGAGAAGGTGAGCTCTGGTGGGGGAGGTCCAGACAGTCCCCAGGATGGCTGATCCCAAGCCTCTGTGGCTGCAGCTGCCATGGTGTCACTGTAGCTATGAGTGGCAGTGGTGTCGGGTGGCAGGGTCAGCCATCCTGAAGGATCTGACAGTTGGCGATTTTTCCTGGGAAGAGGCCATGTGAGAACTTCAGGAGAAATAGAAAGGGGGCAGGAGCAAAGGGGGCAAGAAAGAACAGATCAGAGAATTCAGCATAAGGGAAGGATGTGAAAAGATGCAGGAAAGGCGTCACCAAGGGCTTGAGGCTGCTTTGTCAAAATACTGCGTATCTTTGGGTTTCATACATGATTATCTGAGGAAAATGAAGTCATAAAATAATAAGGGAGAAATCTGCTTTAAGGCAAATTGAATCCAAAGTGCATATTGATGGCTATTTGGAAACTTTCACATCCTGTTTCTGAAAGTATTTACTCTGATATGTTACCCTCTTCTGAATTAAAATCATGGAAGTGGGCTGGGCATGGTGGCTCATGCCTATAATCCCAGCACTTTGAGAGACCAAGGTGGGTGGATCACCTGAGGTCAGGAGTTTGAGAGCAGCCTGGCCAACATGATGAAACCCAATCTCTACTAAAAATACAAAAAAATTAGCTGGGTGTGGTGGCGGGCACCTGTAGTCTCAGCTACTCAGGAGGCTGAGGCAGGAGAATTGCTTGAACCTGGGAGGTAGAGGTTGCAGTGAGCCAAGATTGTACCACTGTACTCCAGGCTGGGTTGACAGAGCAAGACTCCATCTCTAAACAAATAAATAATAAAATGGAAGCAGTGACTAGCAGGAGCTCCTTTCTACCAGAAGTTTGAAAGAAGAATGGATGGGAAAGTGGTTTAGATACTGCTTTTGAAACTAAAAATCTGGAAAGGAAACCTGTTTCCTATCTTACTGTGTTTGGGATGTTTACAGGAATCTATTCAAAGTAAAAAAGAGTGTTTGCGCATCAAGCTGATGGCAGAGCGAGAAGTGGGTTTATTTCATCAGCAGATCCTGGCTCTCAGGCAGGCCCTGGCCAGGGCTCAGGCCGACAGCACGAGGATGTGGAAGCAGCAGGACAGCCAGGTATCCGAGCCTCAGAGCCTCTTCCTTGTTCCCTTTGTAGTTCACTCTGCAAAGTTGAACGTGGCCACCAGACTTGGTGCTGTGGCTGCCAGGAGCAGTCACCAGAGCACCACAGCCTGAAGCCACACAGATGGTACAACCAGGAAAAGATAGCGTGGACCTGGGCTTCCCTTCTCCTCCCTCCTCTCCAGCCCAGAAACCAAGGGCGGTGGCCAAAAGGCTATTGTTCTTACTCATATGTGGCTAAGATGAGAAAATAATACGCTCATAAGCAAGATCATTATCACATATGTGTGTGTGTGTGTGTGTGTGTGTGTGTGTGTCCATTTCTCTGAGGATCTTTTTGCTAGAGGCTGTCCTGGGATCCTGTGATCTTGGCCTCTGCCTTGAACACAGGCTTTCATGGGGCAAGCACGCTTCCACTTGACAACAATCCTCCGCGAGCAGAGTGTGGTCCAGCCTGCAGTGTTATCCCACACGAGACTGTCCTGTCCCAATGGTCCATACCATGTCTCACTTTCAGAAGTTACTGCTGCACGACAGGGGCTGGCACCAAAATAAAGGCACTCTAAGCCTAAGCATGTCCTAACTGTGCCAACCCTCTGGGCATGAATGGAGCAGGGGGACTGTAGGTTTAGAGTGAGAACAGTTGAGTTGAAGTTACAGCCTGGGAAAGCTAGGCATATTTAAAGCATGAAATTTAATTTGTTCATCTTGGACCCTAATTCTTCCATGATTCTGCATCAGATGAGTTAATTATGGTAACTCATATGAGTTATCATGAGCTACATGATAAACTGTAATGTCATCATACAGATATGAATAGTAATATTATGATTAAGGATTGACCATCTAGTACTTAGGATAATACTTATTAGAAAATCTTTGGAACAGAACCAAATTATTTCTACACTTATCCTCCTTTAACCTTCTAGAATCTGACTTCCCCAGATTTTTGGAAGTGAAAACAGAGCCTAAATCAGAACCTCCTTTCCTCACCCATTGCGTGTATGGCATGGCCCCGTCTCTTTAGTGTTAAATGCTTCCACGGCTACCTCCTGACAAAGGCTTAGATATGACTATCTGGTTAGTAAGCTAACATACATGTCATCAAATCTGGGTATTAAAAGACCAAATTGTTTGCCCTGGCACTGCTGTACAGTGGCGTGATCGTGTGCCTGGCTTTTGGGGTCTGTTCTGCTTCCCTCTGTCACTGCAGGGCTCACGGTGTAAATGCCAGGCTAGGGTAGATCCTGGTGCTCTTGCTAGCGCAGGACTGAATCATTGGGCCACATTTTCTAGAGTCCAGGAATACACCATGTAGTTGTGTCTCTGAGCCCCAAAGGAGGGGATGGTTATTATGCTGTCCAACGTCTCCCCGCTTCTGCTGGGAAGAAAGGCTCCCTGCCTCCTCCTTTCTTTTGGCATTTTCCTGCCACAGGCTCAACTGCTGAAGGAGTTAGAACATAGAGTGACCCAGGAAGCTCTCACCCAGGAGCAGTTGCACTTCATGAAAACATCCAGGATGGAGAAGCTCTTGGAAGATGTGGGGCAGAAAGAACAGCAATTGCAGCTCCTTAGTAAAGAGGCTGAGAGGGCTTCTAAGCTGGGCCAGCTGCAGCAGAAAAAAATGAAGAGAGACCTCCACCAGGTAAACCTCAGTAAGAGGGGGTGTCCACCCAGAGTGCACCTGGTGCCCCAGCGAGGGCTGCTGCATCCTTCCCCCATGTGCCCATGCCTCTCTCCTGTCCCCCACAGCAGTGTTTCTCAACCTCTGTCACTTATAGGCAGCCCAGGAGAATGGTAGCATCTCTCCCCACAGTGTCTCCCGACACCACGAAGATTGCTGGGCAGGCCATGGTAGCTTGGCTGCCTCAGGGCTTGGAATCTCAACACCCCTGTAACCTACTGGAAAAACCTGTTTCTACCCAGCTCTCATCTTTGAACTAGAAAATTCCAAGAAGTATTTGGAAATTTTAGAAAATTCCAAGAAGTAACCTGGAAAAGCAGCAAGTGTTAATGGAGGCTATGACAAGAAGATTTTATTCAAGTGTTTCGGGAACTGCAGAGACAAAAATGAAAGGCAAAAGTGGTTTGCAGAGCCAATGTATTTTGTTGACTATACCCAACAACAAAGAAATAGAATAGAATACTAGAATGTAGATGTGGATTAATACAAGTTTCAACAAAGCAGAAAACAATGTAATTCAATAAAAAACGAAAAAGTAACTTCCAAAGCAGGCACCTCACACATATCCATTGAATGAGCAGATCACTGAATTCATTCATCAGAGATAGAAGGAGATGGAAATTGAAAGGCAAATTATTGGTCAAGTGTTTTGTTTTTGTTTTTGTTTCTTTTTTTGAGACAGAGTCTCACTCTGTCACCCAGACTGGAGTACAGTGGCGTAATCTTGGCTTACTGCAACCTCCGCCTCCCCGGTTCAAGCGATTCTCCCACCTCAGCCTCCTTTGTAGCTGGGGCTACAGGCACGAACCACTACACTCAGCTAATTTTTTTATTTTTAGTAGAGACGGGGTTTTTACCACGTTGGCCAGACTGGTCTCAAACTCCTGATCTCAGGTGATCCGCCTACCTCGGCCTCCCAAAGTGCTGGGATTACAGGCGTGAGCCACTGTGCCCAGCCCCTGGTCAAGTGTTTTAAGTGCTCAAGGAAGAGATCAATAAAGAGAATTCTATCTACAAAAATGACAAAAAAAAAAAAAAAAAAAAGATTAAAATTTGAATTGAGGAAAAGCTAAAGAAAATATTTATATAAAAGTGGAGAGAGAAAATGAGTAGTTTTAGAATAAAAGAAAATTAGAATTTCATATTTATTGCATGAAAAGTAAACAAAAATATGACCGAACCAATAAGAAAACTTTGGCATCCCGATTTTGTGTTACAAATTATGCTTTTCTAAATGCCACCACAGAAATAGGGAAGTTCGTAGATTCGTTTCTTCAAGGTTTTCTCTAGTTAATTATTTGTTTCATGGCAGAGATTCTAGAAGTGACCAAAACAAATATTTTAAGGTTTCTCTCAACAAATGTGCACTTTACCGTATGTATGTATAAGACATTGGCCCTTTGTAGAGTACAGCTCCAGCTCTCTTGACAGCTCAAGTGTCCCTACGCCTACCTACTCTAAACAGCAATCCTCAGCCAGCAAGACCCGAGCCCCCCACCCACACCCCTGGCCCCTTCCAGCCAGAAGTGGCTTCTTTAATCTATCCCCGGCCTCCGACTCCATGGGCAGATATTCACTGTCTGACCTCGGAGAGCCTCAGTGTCCTAGCCTGTTGCCTGCGCCTGGTTGAGGTCACTTATAGAAGGGGTTCCCAACCCCCCAGATGTGGGCCAGTAGGGGTCCATAGCCTGTGAAACTGGGCCACACAGCAGGGGATGAGCAGCTGACAGTATAACCGCCTGAGCTCCGCCTCCTGTCAGACCAACCGAGGCGTTCGATTCTCATAGGAGCACCAACCCTACTGTGAACTGCACACGTGAGGGATCTAGGTTGCCCACTCCTTATGAGAATCTAGCTGATGACTGATGATCTGAGGTAGAACAGCTTCATCCTGAAACCATTTGCCCCCACCCCGTGGAAGAATTGTCTTCCATGAAACCGGTACCTGGTGCCAAAAAGTTGGGGACCAGTGATTTAGAGCACAGGCCCTGGAGTGGAACTGACTGGTTCATACCGCCGGCCCCCCAGCGGTGTGGCTTTGGGCAAGGTCTGTGGCCAATCTGTGCTTTGGTTTCTTCATCATTACAATGGAAACAATGTACTCACTTCACTAAATTTGGGGGGGTGATTAAATTAAGAAATTAAGTAATTCAAATAAAGCCCTTAAAACCGGGCCTAAAACAGGCATGACTGTAGTCCCAGCTACTTGGGAGGCTGAGGCAGGAGGATTGTTTGAGCCCAGGAGTTCAAGGCTGCAGTAAACTAAGATTATGCCACTGTAATCCAGCCTGGGTGAAAGAGTAAGACCCTGTCTCTAAAAAATTAAAAAGTAAAAAGTTAACAAAAATAAACAGGCCAGGTGTGGTGGCTCACTCTTGTAATCCTAGCACTTTGGGAGGCCAAGGTGGGAGGATTGCTTGGGCAACATGGTGAAACCTTGTTTCTACAAAAAATATAAACATCAGCCAGGGCTGGGGGTGTGCATCTGTGGTCCCAGCTACTCAGAGGGCTGAGGCAGGAAGATCACTTGAACCTGGTTGCAGTGAGCCAAGATTGCGCCAATGCACTCCAGCCTGGGTGACAGAGTGAGACCGTCTCAAAACAGCAGCAAAACCAGGGTGTGATACATAGCTCTCAGGAAATGTTGGCTGTTTATATTTTTGTTGGGAATGTGAAGGTAGACAGCCTTGGAAACAGGTAGATAGACCTGGACTCAAATCCTGGCTGTGTGGCCTTGGGCAAGTCACTTCACCGGCGTCTGTGACGTGGGGGCGAGTGGCCTAATACAAGGAGGTCCTGAGGAAGCACGCTTCCTTGCTGGTATTTCTCAAGTTTCCTAGTGCCAGCCTGGCTCAGAAAATCTTGATATGTTTCCTTGGTACCAGCCCATAGGGAATAAGGATCCTACACAAATCCCTATAGTATGGAGAGGGACTTTGGACCTAGTTTATATTAGGATGTTTTCCTAACTCTGGAGCTCTGGTAATCTTCTGAAATTTAAACGATGCTTGGGGGCCCCCCGACATAAGGAAGAGCCCCCTTTAACGTTTAGGGCAAGACTCTGTGGGGGCCTTCTGGCCAGGTCCATGCAGGCAGAGTGGGATGTACAACACACGCGGCTGAATGCTTGAGACTAGCATGTGTGTTCAATCCGTAGGGCTGCCTTACTAAATTATCACAAACTGGGTGGCTTACTAGAATAAAAACGTATTCCTTCACAGCTTGGGGGGCCGGAAGGCTGAAACTAATGTGCTGGCAAGGCTGGTTCCTTTGGAGGCTCTGAGGAAGAACCTGTTCCGTGTCTCTTCTTAGTCACATTTTGGTCTCTGGCATTCCTCGACTTGTAGCTACCTCACTCCAGTCCTGCCTCTGTCATCATGGAGCCTTCTTCCTATGTGCTCCTCTGAGTGTCTGTATCCTTATCCTGTCTTCTTTATAAGGACAACAGTCATTAGATTCAGGGCTCACCCTAAATCCAGTGTGACCTCATCCTAACAAGTCCGTCTACAAAGACCCTATTTCCAAATAAGGTCACAGTCTGAGGTTCCAGGTAGACATGAAATTCGAGGGAGTGCTCTTCCAACCACTACAGTATGTATTACCTTTCTACAAGTAAAAACAATTAGGAGATTATAAATTGAAAAAGCAAAACCACCTGTGATTTGGGCAGATGAGATACACTTTGGACTCGGGCACTGTCTGGCTGGGGAGTGTGGGCTAGCTGTGCATAGGGAGAGCCACACAAGTCAACACAAAGGTTGCTTCTGGAAATGGGCTTCTGTCAGACCAGGGCATTCCTGGCAGATGCTGAGCTGAGAGCAGAGATCTAGGAGAGAGAGCAAGTCTTTCCTCTGTTTGAAACTGTCCAGGGGCTCTGACAGGTCCTCAGTGTAGATGCAGTGGCTGGGCCTCCAAGGCCATGTGTGCACTGGGCCCTCACTCCCCTCTTCCTCTACCTATCTGATGAAATAGACATGAAAGATATAACCTTGTGAATAAGTTCCTAGCTATTATAAGGTATAAGGGATTCCATGGACTGTTCCTTTTTGGTTAAGTTCCTGGTCTTCCTGAAGTTCTTGATTCTCAGAAGGCTGAGTTCAGCCTAATCAGGACTTTAAGAGCCAGTTCTCTTTGCAGGGTAGCCTGGGACACCCATTTTCCCTAGGAACCCCGTGTGAACTGAGGAAACGAAAGTGAGCACAAAGCATCTCTGCTTCTCATTTTCCCCTCAGATGAGAAGCCGGCTTGCCCAGGAGCGCAGTGTGAAGCTGGATGCTCTCCAGCGTGTGGAGGAGCTGCAGAGTCAGCTTCACGATGCCCAGCAGTCAGCTGTCCCCACAGGCTCCTCAGGCGGTAAGGATACCCCTGCTCTGGCTAGAAAACCTCCCAGTCTCTGGGGTCTGAGCTGAGGAGGGTCTCAGGGACTCAGGGAGGACCCAGTCACTAAGTATCCAGTAGTTATTGAGTGGGTCCTCCACAATGTTTGTTGAATGACACATAAATGGATAAATCTTAATTCTGGTTTACAGTCAAAACTTCCTACTTTAGCACCTTGGAGTACTGACATCCAACAGTAAAAGGTTTCAGTCATAAAAAACTGGTCTTGGCAGGGTGCAGTGGCCACACCTATAATCCTAGCACTTTGGGAGGCTGAGGAGGGCGGATCACGAGGTCAGGAGATTGAGACCATCCTGGCCAACATGGTGAAACCCCGTCTCTACTAAAAATACAAAAATTAGGTGGGCATGGTGGCGTGTGCCTGTAATTCCAGCTACTCGGGAGGCTGAGGCAGGAGAATTGCTTGAACCCAGGAGTTGGAGGTTGCAGTGAGCTGAGATGGTGCCATTGCACTCCAGCCTGGTGACAGAGCGAGACTCTGTCACACACACACACACAACCCAGTTCATTGGATTTTGAGACAATGCTTTGGGATACTAATGACCCCATTTCTCAGTTATTCATAAAGTACATTATGATTCTTGGGTGCTGGAGGCTTGGGGTGTCCTTGAAAATAACAATCAAAATAGCTCTCTGAGCAGTGCAGTCAGCAGGCAGCATGGAGCTGAGGCCAGACCCCAGGATGTCTCTAAACCACCTTCCTCCTCTGTAAGATGAGGACTAAATACATTCTAAATTATCTTCTAGATCTGACTATCAGAAATATCACCAAATATCACTAGCCATGATTGGCCTGTTGTTATGATTGGCCGTGTCTCTTCTTTCCTGTTCTGTACATAGCCTGATAGTTGAGTATGTGGGCTTTGGAGTGAAACAGCCAGAATTCAGGCCCTGGCTCTGTCACTGCTAGCTGCGTGACCTTAGACAGACCTTAATTAGCCTCTCTGTAAAATGGGAATACTCAGCTCAAAGGCTTGCTCAGAGATCAAATGAAAAAATCCCTGTCTGACACTTAGTATAGTGGCACTTAGTAATTGTGCAAGTGTTGGTTACTATACTTGCATACATGTGTTCAGCCCTTTATCTGTGTTTCCTTTTGGCTACTTTCCAGCGTGAATGAGCTGAGGAAACACAACCTTTCGGGAGCACAAAGTCACAGATGAAGTTACTTTGGGTTTACAAACAGCAGAGCTGGGCTTGGCAGTAAAACTCACAGGGCCCTCCTTCCCGCCTCTGGGTTGCTGCCTGGACCTGACATTGGGAGCTGGTGTCCCCTACCCCAGCCACTGGTGGTTGCTGCTGCCCCAGCCCCAACACAAAGGGCATCAAGAGCACCCAAGGGCCCTACCTTGACGCCTGACCCTACTTAGTTCTGTACCTTACACTGTCTTCTCCATGTGCCAGGGGATTTTTTCCTCCTCTCCCTTTCCCCTCTGCCCGCAGCCTAGCCAGGCATCTTTCTAATCCCTTCCTGGGATAATGCGTCCTAGTGAATTGTCATCCATGTCCTCCAACACCTGCCTATTGTGAAGGAGAACCAGAGTGAGGCATAAGGCAGGTGGGGGAGACCCTAATTCCCAGGATTGGGGCGGGAGCAGGAGTGGGAAGGAAGCTTCTTTCCCAGGAAGTAGAGGTAGAGGTTACTCCTGGGCCTCAGCCCCCTTCTGTTCCCCTGTGCAGGGAGAGGAGGGGTTTGAGGGCACAGCCAGCTATTACCCATACTGTTAATGCTAAGCAGTGAAAGTCAGCCATACTCCCACTCCTCCTTCCTCTGCTGTTGTCCAGCTGGAGTCTCAACGTGACCCAGGGGTCTTCCACAGCAGCAGCCACAGCAGCATCCCTGCCTTCCACGTCGGAAGCATAGATGTGCTCAGAGGGCGAGCTCTCTTTCCTTGCCATTAACATGATTCCCCTAGGATTTTGCAACACCTAAGAAACTATGATTTTTTTCTAAATCAATTATTTTAGAAATGCTTAAGGAAAAAATGAAATCGCTTGGCTCATAAAACTGTAAAATGTTGAGAGGAGGCCTGGCTAAATGTAGCTTCGCCTAGGTTTGAACTACTTCATCAGGACTGCTTTCACGCTCTCCATCTCTGGCTCTGAGGAGGCTGGGAGCAGAAAGGAAGCAAGGCTCTTTGGAAGCAAGATGGCAGCCACCTCTGTAGCTTCCATCTCTGTTCATGCTCAGCATGGCAGGAGCAGGGCGTGGAGACGGGACAGTTAAAAAGAATTGGGCTCTGCCTGGACTGACTTGGGTCTTGTTGCTGATTTTGAACAAATCGATGGAGCCACAGACTAAGACTTATGCCTGGATGGCTTAGACCCAGCTTACCTGCTCCTCCACTGGAGCTAAGGGTCAGGCCAGCTCACTCTCGCCTCCTCTCTGCAGCAACTGTTTTAAATCTGCCTTGTCTCCTCAGACCTTCGTCCACTCTCCCCACCCCCTCATCCTTTCATCTCCAACTTCACAGAGAAATTAGAAACCCTCAGACAGGAATGCCATTTTCTCCCTGTCTCCCAGCCCACCTACATCTGTACTCTGCTGCTTCTCCTTCCCTCCTGTGAACATGGAAAGGGCGCCCCTTTTCTTCCCCAGGCCAACCCCTATGTAAAGGGCCCCATCTGCTGCTACCTTCTCAGGGGCCTTGAACTATCTGGTTCTTTCTACATACTTGGATTTCCCGTCCATGCATCCCTCTAATACATACATACATGTATGTGCCAGGATCATAAAATCCACTGTAAAATAACGCCCCCCTACCCCCGCTGCCTTGACGACATATTCCTTCCCCTGCCGCTGGTCTTTCTCTTCCCAGTCAGACTTCTTAAAAGAGCTGCCTATACGCACTTTCGTGATTCACCTCACTTAATTTCTCTCAGGTTTTGCCATTTTCAACTTGTGGCTTCCAAATGTTGCTCACCACCTCATGGTCCGAGATGACTGCTTAAGCTTTCTGGCCAACAGGAAGGAGGAAGGCAACAAGAAGGGCCCACACCTCCCTTGAAGCTTGAAGAATGGTTCCTGGAAGTCACTTGTGACACTTTGGCATACATCCCATTGGCCAGCACTTAGCCCAAGACCACACAAAGGAGACTGGGAAATGTAGTTTTTATTCTAGGACGCTGTGTGAACATAAAATGTGAGGTCTATTTCCAAGAAGAGATGGGAGATTCGCAATTGGGGGCCAAGAACAGGTCTCTACCACACCGCCAGCAATCTGATTTTTCTCACCACCATTTCATTGCAGTTGCTCTTGCCAAGATCACCTTCACTTCTGTCTCCAAGTCCAAAGGACATTGCTGAGTTCTCACTGATTTCATGGCTTAGCAGCATTTGACACAGCTGACCACACCCTTCTAATTATTCCCCTGGCACCACTCCTTGTGGTTTTTCTCTTCCTCTGGCTGCTTTTCCTGTCTTCTTTTCTAGTTCGTCCTACTGTATCCAACCTCTAAACATTGAAGTTGTTCAGGGATCTTTCTGGCCCCTTCTCCTTTCACCTCACATTGTCTCCAGATAATTGCGTATTTCCCACAGCTTTAATCACTGTTTGCTAAGTCTGCATCTGCAGCTCAAAACTCTCCTCTGAGCTGTAAACCCATATATCCAATGACCCATATATCCAGTGAATAATGTCTACATTCATGTGTCTCAGGCTCACAAGTTCAACAGGAATGGAACCCGTCTTCCTATCCTCCTCCCTTCCTACTTTTGGGGTGGGGAAGATGCTGTTTCAGCAAATGGTAGTGCCAAATATCCAGCTGCTTAAGCCAGAAATTTGGGAGCTATTCTTTGTCACCCTGCAAATCTGGTTAATTCCCAACTCCGACTAATTTCAGTAGCTCTCAGTCTATCCTCTTCTACCTACCACAGTCCAAGTCTCTCATCACCTCCTTCACTTTTACTTGGTCATATGACTATCAGGTAAAAAACACCAAGTTTCGACATATTTGCTCAAAATTGATGAAGCCGAAACACAATTGATTAAGCTGAGTTAGATGCCAATTTTAAGCCCTAAATTTTATGAATTAAATCTAGATGCATAAATGTGAGGTGATAGTGAGCTATGATCATGCCACTGCACTCCAGCCTGGGCAACAGAGTGAGGCCCCCCTCTCAAAAAATAAAAAATCAAGATAATCTGGGTTTATCCATTGCAACCAGAGATGTAATTTAACATTTCTAACTTTACAGACCTTATATCCCAGGCTCAATACTCCCCAACTTCTGCTTCCATATCATCCAGATACTCCCAGCAATGCTTTTTAAAGACTAATCTCAAAGGCAGTAAAATAACAAGATGGATTCCAAGGCCACAGACTGTAAGTAATGATAAGATTAATTACATGCATTAAACAATAAAGCCTTACAATTTGATTTTATGGTTTTTGGGTCACTTCAGACTTACATTAGAAAAATGATATATCAGGAGCTTATGTAGATGCCTTGAATCTGGATAAGAAAATTCTGATGTTGAAATAATCCTATAATAGTACCTTCTAAATTACAAGTCAATAAATGGGTGTGGAATCAGTACCAACACCTTGCTGTGTTCCATCTCTGAATTTCTTTTTTCCCCCAATCATCTTCAACAATTAACCAGCAGCATCAGACTCCTTATCTGAGTTTCCCCAACAGAGCAGAAATAGTTTCGGAAGTCATTTTAAAACACGTGAGAAATCTACCCTCCAAGAAAACTCTTGGGATGCAGATTAACACGTATTTGAAGAACTTGTAAAATGTTTCAGTTTTTAGTTTATGTAAAATAACATATACTTCCTCTTCCACTGTCTCCTCTCTACTGCTTTAATAAGTATTTTACTCTTTGCTCCATTTTCTTTCAGAATCCCTTCTAGAGATTCACATATCTAATCAACACATTTAAGAATTCCTGGCTGGGCACGGTGGCTCACGCCTATAATCCCAGCACTTTGGGAGGCTGAGGCAGGCAGATCACCTGAGGTCAGGAGTTTGAGACCAGCATGGCCAACATGGTGAAACCCTGTCTCTATGAAAAATACAGAAATTAGCCAGGTGTGGTGGCGGTCGCCTGTAATCCCAGCTACTTGGGAGGCTGAGGCAAGAGAATCACTTGAGCCTGGGAGGCAGAGGTTGCGGTGAGCTGAGATCACGCCATTGCAATTGCACCCCAGCCTGGGAAACAAGAGTGAGACTTTGTCTCAAAAATAATAATAATAATAATTATTATTCCCCATTACCTGAAGAAAAATTAAGAGGAAAAGATTTAATCATTCCTTCGGAGAAAAGTATGCCATTCCAAGTCATTTGATGGTGTAATTCTGCAGCTGATGGTCTAGTTATAAGGACCAAAAGTTTCAAGATTTCTAAACATGCAGTTAAGAAGGGGGAAAGACAGGTTGGGAAGATACCCAAACACCATCTTGACCAAGTCAGGGCCACATTATTAATGTCCACCATTCGCTTGACTCACCAATCTCTGTGCAGTCATCTTTCTTGAAAATGTGAAATTTTATTATATGTCTATGTTTCTGCAAAAGCCTTTTGCAAAAAGAAGCAAAGTTCACTTTGTATGTGTGGGATCACAAGGACTTTCAAGAATCACTTCATCTCCATTTCACCCCGAAAGGTGCAAGTACCATGGGGGTGTTGGTGGTCACGACTTGTTGAAAAGGCTGCTAAGCAGCTAAGTGCATTAGTGAAGATTTATTATATTTGAGAGATTCAGAAGGGTGATGGTCTAAGGCTAATTGATGAACATTGCCCTACCAAATAAATAAACCCTATAGTGAAGCGTCCTGTGGGCCCATTGGCCCAGTGGCTATGTACAATATGGGAAGCTCAAGCAAAAAACCTCAAGGCCAGGGAAGGTACACAGTTAGCTAGAACTTCTTCAGATCTCAGGTCTGACTTCTTAAGGTCTATGAGACAAGTCAGATAAATACTGATTGAAGAGGAATTTATACATGGCTGAAATGTAAGAGTACAGTTAATTTTCTAAAAATTAGCCCTGCACTAACACAAATGATAAAAAATTAAGGAATTTTAGATTACTCGAAATATGAACTGTTATCTTCCTTAACTGGAAATGGCTTTCCATTGATGAATTCATTCTTGACCAATTCCCTTCATGACAAGTGGCAAAATACAGACAAGGCGGCATACTAACTATATGGTCTGGCCTAACCCAGACCAAATCAATGATCTTGGTCTCATTAATAACAGTGACTTTTTATGATGCTATAACAAGAATTATTCACTGTGTTGTTAACAAACACCAATATCTACTTATATTACAGGTACCTATCAAACACAAAAAAAGGATTGATGATGTTTTCCTACCCAATATGGCAGAAAATGTTCAACTGACAGCTTTTCAGGTTCAAATAGCTCCATCCAGATTCCCATTTAGAGCTGACTGGTGATCGTATCTTCTTTTTCCAACCTTTATTTCTATGAGTATTTGAATGAATAAAAATGACTCCAAATGCCATTAAACCTCTTAATTTTATGTATGAAATTTTCTTATCTGTACTTGGAAGATAGGGTTTGAAGGAATGAGATGATTACATCTTGAACCAACGCCAGGTGAAGTAGGGGTTGGTCCTAGACTTTAAAACCTAAGCATTGATTTGCATTCCTGCAAGTCAGCCTTTGCGTCTAGTCAACCAGCAGCCTCTCAATATGAATTCTAGTTAGTAGGTAGGAAGGACAGCTAAGATAGAGGCCCTCACTTCTAAGCAGTGTTTACTAACAAGTGAAAAACCAAAGTATGTTAATAGAGATTAACACAAATGAACATCAAAGCATTTGTTTCACTTAGAAAACAAATTTGCCGTCCTCTATTAACAATCTTTTCATTCTTCCTACAAATGCCAAAGACTTCCTCAGACTTTAGTAAAGTCCTAATCCAAGTCCTTTTTGTTCAGACAAGAAAATCTGTCTTGTGTAAAGCAATTAATAGATAAACAGAGCAGAGAAACATTTACATGCATAAATTTATGTATGATACATGTGGCTTTTCAAATTAAAGAGAACATGGAGGCTATCTGGAATAAAATCATCACCTTACCCCATACATTATAAATTCCAAATGGATTAAAGATCTAAATGCACGTACGTACACATGCACACATACACAGACACACGACACATGTACAAACTGCTTTTTTAAACAATATTAAAGCCAAGAGGAAAATTGATAACTTTGATATCAGAACTAAAACTTCAGTATGATAAAATACTGTATCAGTTATCAACTGATATCTCAGCTCCAAATTCATTCTTTATTGTCTGTTCTGCAATAACAAATATGGACCCTATAAACATTTCCTCTTTGCCAACTGGCAAGATGTTAAGCTTTGTCAGTAGAGGGTGCTGGAGGGACCCTGGAGGAGGTGGCAGGGTTTTTTTCCAGGTTACCATGTGCTCCTCTAGGCAGGCTCTTGCAGTGTGCATGGCTTCTGCAGCACCAGGTTCTTGTAGCATATACAGCTTCTGCGGTGCCTGGCTCCAGTGATGCATGTAGCTCCATGGTAGAGTGCCACTTGCATGGCACCTCCTGTGACGGGTCCCCCCAGCATCCCTTTGAATAGCTTTGCAGTCTCAGTGAATTTCTCAGCCATCCAATAAGCTTTGGCCAGATCCCCTCCAATGAGGTCTGGATCTCAGCCCTGAATACATCTGCTATCCTTGTATTCTTTCGAGTTCTCTTTATTGCTTACAAGCAGTATGCCAATCCTTTGATATAGTTAATAATTCTTTATATCAGACTTTCCCTGTTTGAATTACTGTGTGCTTTCTGTCTCCTGATTGGCCCATCACTGATATAGAACTGGTACCAGAAGCAGGTGTTCCCAGAGGATAGACCTGCTATGGTTTGAATGTTTGTCCTCTCCAAAACTCATGTTAAAATTTAATCCCCAATGTGGCAGTACTGAAAGGTGAGGCCTTTAAGAGGTGATTGGGTTATGAGGACTCTGCCCTTATGAGTGGATGAATCCATTCAATCCACAAATCAATGGATTTGTGGGTTGTTAAATTAATGGACTATCATGGGAGTGGGACTGGTGGCTTTATAAGAAAGGAAAACTTGGGTTAGCATGCTCAGCTCCTTCACCATGTGATGCCCTGTGCTGCCTCAGGTCTCTGTGGAGGGTCCCCACCAGCAAGAAGGCTCTTACCAGATGTGCTTCCTCAACCTTGGACTTCCCAGCCTCCATAACTTTAAGAAATAAATTCCTTTTGTTTACGAATTTCCCAGTTTCAGGTAGTGTTATAAACAATAGAAAATGTATTGAAACAGAACACAGATGGAACTTGGGATTTGTTCAGTGCTGAGCCAATAGGAAATTGGAATGTTAGTATTATTTGCATGCAGTGGCTTCACAATCATGTTGTTACCGGTAGTAGATTGTGCTAAAGTACCTACTGAAGTATGTGCCTTTAGGAGCCTCAGTTGCTACTACACTGACTATCATGGTAGTCATGTTGACTGTAGAGACTGTGGTGTGAGGTGGATTTTTTTGAATGCACTTCAGCACTTCTGGAAGAAAATGACAAGCTCATGACCTTTAATTCTAGGCTTAATTCATGGTCTGAGACCAGAAAGCTTCCATGATACACCTAAAAGTATCTCTTATTTCTTAAAGTCACAGGGATGATATTGCTAAAAATCAAGCACAAATTTTTATTATTGGCATGCTAAATTATAATGACAGTTGTATTTATAAGCTCATCAAGTTTCTCATTGCCATTGAGATAGGCCCTGTGATTTCAATGAAGAAAATGCAATTCCAAAGTGGAAGCACCAAGTGGCAGGCTTTAACTGGCAAAAGACAAGGTAGGCACATCCATTATAAAGGGCAATAGGGATGTATCAGTAGTCAGAATCCCTTGGCCTGCAGAGTTCTTTGGTAGTTAATGGGTCCCCAAGTATGAAATCATATGAAATCATAGATTGCTTAATGTATATAACAGAAATTGCTTAATGTATATAACAGAATTGCTGTTATATTGCTTAATGTAACAGAATTGCTTAATGTATATAACAGAAAAATCTACAGGTCTAGTAGCCAAAACTTGAGTCACCACAGTGAGGAGTCACAGCCTCTGACCCAGGTTCCAGATTTGAGTCAATTCACAGACCAGAGGCCCTTGACCAAAGGGGAGGCTGGATCTCCTTAAGGAAGGACCCTTCACTGCTGCAGGTTCATGTTATAAATCTTCCTCCAAACCATTCCCCAATGGACCTGCAATCGTTTTCTTAAATTACTGTTCTTCAGAGAAAATACCCAGACATTTTGGTGGTTACTAGACCCAGGGCCTAAATTAATGCTAATTCTTGGGTACCCAAAACACCACTGTGGCTTACCAGTCAAAATGAAGGCTTACAGTAAGATGATATAGAAAGAGTCATAGCTCAGGTCTGAATTACAATGGACCAAATAGTACATGGACCCACCCTGTGACTACTTCCCCAGTTCCTGAGTGAATAATTAGAATAAATACAATTAACAATATGAAGAATTTCCGTATTGGTTTTTTGACATATGAGCTAAGAATCAATTATGGTAGGATCACTGGAAGTCTCTGGAACTTTCCTTATCAAAAAAGCAAACCAGAAGCAATACTATAACCCTGGGGAAATGGCCCTGGGCATTAATGCTACCATCAAAGACTCGAAAGAAACAAGGGTGATGATACCCATCCCTTCATCATTTAACTCACCACTCTGGCCTGTGCAGAAGACAGATCTTAGAAATAACTAGGGACTATCAGTTCCACATCTTAATGAGGTGGTGATTTCAATTGCAGCTGCTCTCAGACTTAGCATCTTTACTGAAACAAATTAGTATGCTCCTGGGACTTGACATGCAGTTATTTCCTTAAAGCCTTTTGCACCATGAGAGGCAGTTTGCTTTTACCTGGCAAAGCCACAGTATATCTTCATAGTCTTGCCTCAAAGCTTTGTCAGTTCTCCTTCTCCCTGCCATGATATAGTCCACAGAGACCTTGTTCATCATGATATTCTACACAGTATCACATTGGTCCACTACACCGATGACATTATGCTGACTAGAAATAATGGGCAGGATGTGGCAAGTACTTAGGTGCTTAATAAAACAAATAAAAACTAAAAAGTGAAAGAAAAATCCCATAATTCAGAAACTCAGTGAAGTTTCTAGGGGTTCAATGATTTGGAACAAGTTAAAATATCCCCCTCCAAAATGAAAGATAAGTTGCTGCACTTCACACTGTGCACCACGATTAAAGAGACATGATGCTTGGTAGGTCATTTTGAATTCTGAAGGCAACATATACTTTGCATGTGCTATTTCAGCCCATCTAGAGTCACTCATAAGATTATCATTTTTGAGTGGCTACCAGAGCAAGAAAAGGCTCTATTGCAAGTTTGAGTTATAGCACAAGCTGCTCTACCATGTGGGTCTTATGATCCAGCAGATCCAATGATACTGAAAGTAGCACGGCCTACAGGGATATTGTGTGAAGCCTCTGCCAAGCACCAGTAGGAGAATCGTGGGGAAGCAAACCTATGTCTTCTGAAGATTATACTCTCCTTTTAAGAAAGTTTCTGTCTTCCTACTGTGCTTTGGTAGAGACTAACCATGGGATGGCAGGGGATCATGTGGCCTGAGCTTTCCATCATAATGTGGATGTTGTTAGCTAGCCTAGTCATGAACTTGGACATGCAAAGCAGCAATCTATCATCAGACAGAAATGGTACACAATAGACTTAGCTTGTTTTAGGTCTGAAGGCAGAGGTAGCATAGCTTGCTTGAACAGTTGGCTCAGACTCTTTCAACACCAACTCCTGTTTCACTGTCTTCTCTCCCTCAACCCATACCTATGGTCTACTGGGGGTTGTTCTAACAACCAATCGACCAAGAAAGAAAAAAAATAAAGTCTGGTTTACAGATTGGTCTGCATGATATGTTGGTTTCATCCAAAAATGGATGCCTAAAGCAATATAGCCCCACCTGAGGGCAACCCTGAATGGCAATGGTCCAAAAAAAAAAATTCCTCCCAATGAACAGAACTTCAAGTAGTACCTTTGGTTGGCCACTTGTCTGAACTGGGAGATGGCCAGAAGTACAGACCTACACTAATTCATGGGTAGTTGCTGATGGTTTGGCTAGAGAGTTGGAAGAAACAGGTCTGGAAGGCTGGTGACAAGGAAGTCTGGGAATTATCTGTGGATGGACCTCTGGGAATGGGCACAGATGAAGATATTTGTGTCCTAGGTTAATGCCCATTGATATGGTTTGGCTCTGTGTCCCCACCCAAATCCCATCTTGTAGCTCCCATAATTCTCACGTGCTGTAGGAGGGACCCAGTGGGAGATGACTGAATCATGGGGGTACCTCTTTCCCATGCTGTTCTTGTGATAGTGAATAAGTCTCATGAGATCTGATGGTTTTAAAAACGGGAGTTTCTCTGCACAAGCTCTTTGCCTGCTGCCATCCATGTAAGACGTGACTTGCTC